TTGTTGGCAGGCTGTTAGCTTGCCATTAGCAGGCTGTTAGCTTTTCTTTATCTAAATGTTAGAATTGTCTCATTGTTTTCCTGTTTTTATCTGGGCGGTCGACTCCAACAGCAGAACTTTGTCAGATTCAGAAAAATCACTCAGATCCTAGTGACCTGTTTTGCAGGCAGAGTAGCGCTCTGTTAGCGCACTGTTTTAATGGGATAGGAATAAATCACATCAATGAGCTGATTCCAGTGATTCGCTTCACTGTTAGACGTTATGGTGGGAACTTTGTTCCATTATTGTTGCAAAGATCATGTTTTATAATTCAAAATTTGGAGAGAAAAAAAACTGAAAACGTCCAGCAGACCAGTAGAAACGTTTCTTTGGTCCGTCCATCCAAAGGAAAGGCCGCCTCCAGAAGGGAAGAGAATGGGATGTGGATAGCTGATTGGAAAAAAGGGAAATCTATAAAACTGCCTGGAAAAGGGAAGGTTGAAAAAATCTGATAAATAAATGACTGTTAGGGCTACAGTTACTGCTAGCATTGAACTGATCTTTGTCAGCAGGTGGCCTGAGTCTCACATGTTATTTACCTTTTTGATAGTTCGTCAGACCTGAGTCCTTCTTTCTGACTCCTTTTCCTTCTTCTCTCTGCTCTAAATGTCTTCAGGGTGTGTGCCTCAGCATGCTCCTCTGAGAGGTAAAAAGCAGCATGGTCAGAACCATTTCACTCAGTGTGACATCCCCCCCCATCCCCATCCCTGTTTCATTTAAAGTACACCCTCTTTACATTCTTGGCTTTGATGCATCAGGACATGATTCCAATGATCCAACCCACCAGGGTCTGACCTGTAACCCTCCAGGTTTAGCGCCCCTGAAGGCCACTGGCTGCACTGCACTGTAGAAAAATGGACCTGAACAATCATTGAATATATCCTTGATTAAAGATCACACAGTGGTGCTTTAAACAAAAACAAAGTTTAAATGGAAAAGCTGTGTTGATGAAAAGGAGGAACAGTTTTTAGCATTTAAATCAGCTTTATTGGCCAGTACTGTGTGAAGGAGTTTCACTTTGTTCAAGCGTCACACTTTAGAGACTTTGAAGGAAATGGAAGGTAAACATTTTCAAAGCATATTTTTGTTCAGATATGCTTTATGTTTAGTGGCTGAGCTCTAAGTCTGGAGGCGTCCATTAGTCAGACACCCTAAGAGGAACCACTTAAAGCTCATAACCTCTGTTTTCTGATTGGTCCATCTTTCACACCATCGTCAGTGTTGCATTAGTCCATCGAGGTTTTCCAACATGTCAGACTGAGATCTGGATTGATGGTCTTTGCTGCATCTTGCTTTATTTTCATTAGCCTAAAGGGCTGTTCTCCTCCTGCAGCAGTGTGTCGCAGGTATTTTTCATTTATGCCCAATATTGCAGCGTGGTCTGCGCTATGTTGTTCCACTCCACAACGCCAGAGGGCCAATCAGGAACTAGCTGTGGGTCTAGATACGGCCGAGGCAGTGAGAAAGTGGGGGCAAGTTTGTGCGACAACGGAGTGAAAAGGGGGCCAAAAAGAGCGGAGATCCAGGTGGGAAAAGGGTCCCAGCGTTCTCGTGCACCTCGTTCTTCTAGCTGGTCCACCAGTCGTTTTCCACAATGGCGGTCATACAAACAAAACAAGCCGGTAAGGAACCAAACAGGAAATACACATAGTTTAGAGCGGATGTAGAACTGACCAATCAGAGGCTCACCTACACTTTGGGCGAGGTGCAGCAGAGTGTCTGCGGAAGGGGCGGGGCGTATCTGCATTAACTGCAACATCTACGCAGACGACCTGGTTTCTGAGCATAAACCAGCCCTAAATCCTGCCGTCATTCCTCTGAGAGACGAGAAGCTAACCTTCCAAAGGAGTCACTGTGATCTCTGATCATTTCCTGATTCAGACCTGATCATTTCCAGGATGTGCTGAGAAATTAACCCAGAATTAAAAGAGGGGAGCTTTAATTTAACACACCCACTATCCAAAACATTTAGGGTCCATTTCTCCATTTACTTTATTTTCCAGGATAAAAGATGTGGGGCATGTTTACTTTCGCATCATTTTTACTGCTTTTTTATTCATTTTAAGACATGTTCCCATGACTTTGTTCATCAGGACTTTGTTTACATGTGATTACTTAATTTACACAGATCATGATGTTTAATTTTCTCAGCATTAATATTCTCATTCACTGCTCTAGTTTGGTTTAATTAACTCTTCTTCTTCTCATGCGGCCGAGTGGGTAGGGCATAGAGCTATGAATCCCAAGGTGCTGAGTTTGAGCTCCAATCCCACAGACTGCCACTCTGGGTCCCTGAGCAAGACCCTTAATCCCCAGACTGCTCCTCTGGCGCCGCACAATGGCAGCCCACTGCTCCCCAAGGGGAGGGGTTAAATGCAGAGAGGGAATTTCTCTGATGTGAGATCAATAAAGTTTTATATTATATATAAGTATTAATATTTAAGATAATGCTCTATAATCCAGATTTCCTCAAGCTGAAATGTTTTAGTTTCACCTGGTTTCATTTTGTAAAACATCTTCTTTAAGGAATCTTTTACTAATCGATTAATCAAAAAAATAGATTAATCGATTTGCAAAATCAGTGTCTTCTTTCTATGGAGCCCTAATGAATGGTTTAAGGAAGGAAGGGGGCTCAGGAATCACCAGGAGGTTGTTTTCTTCTGGACTTATTAAATAAATGTTCACCCTTGCTATGCAAAGATTAGCATTAGCAGACCCGGCAACCTGCTGGAAAACTGTACAGAACAAGAGTGAGCAAGTATGAGTGTGCCACCTATTGGCTAGGAGGAGTTAAAGTCGGTGCGTTCACAATGAACGCATTGTTGGCATCAAAAGGATTAAACGCAGAATTATGGATGCTGGGTCAATTGCTGGTCAAGATGCTTTGACACATCAGCGCTCCGGACGCTCGGCGCTCTGGTTGTTTATCTGCTCTGTTCTGTAGCTTCCAGCTAGAGAGCAGCTTGGCTTTATTTACTTAGAAAAATAGGTTTAACAGGTTTTTAAGCGAGAAAGTCCGCCTCCAAACATCCTCTGTTCATCAGGATTATAATCCCTCTATAATCTGCAGTTCTTGTTGGGAGCTCCAGAGCTCCAGCATACCACCGGGAGGCAGTGCTGGAAATCCCCACTGAAAGCTCTCCTGTGGGGGATTTCCTGCTGCCGGTTTTTGGGAAAAACTGGAAGAACCAGAATAAACAATCCAATATTTTAACATTTCTAGTTAATTTGGGGATTTAGAAACTGTTGCTCCATAGTTCATAAAAATATTTTAGTGCAGCAATAATGATCAAAGCTGCTCTCTGATTCCTTCTACATAACAATCCATCCTACCTGCTCTATTTTAACCTTTGGAGTTTAACTCCTTGATATTTATGTATTCTTCATCTGCAGAATGTCTGCAGCTGCGATGGCAGCTTGCAGGTAGAGTCTGTCTCCCTATAAAACTCCTGGAACAGCTTTCCTGATTGGTTGATGCTCCAGCATCCAGCGGCTGAAGTTCAATTTACTGAACTCCAGCCCAGATGCTGGAATGCACAGCCCAACAGCGCCCCCCATAGACCTTGCATGTAAATCAGACGTTTTGACACCGGTGCGAAGGCACCACTCCAGTTATTTGAGTAGATAACTGGAAGGGCAAGTTAGAGTTGAACTCCTCTCTGATGGAAATGGGGAGCGGGGTTCAGCTTTGGCTGGTCTCTGATCAAAGGGTGACACCGACTGTTTTTGGCTCTACAGGGTCAGGGGGCCATAACAGAAAAGCTGCGCAGCCTGAGCATGCATGACCTCTCCCAGATAGGCCAGCAGGACGACAGAGGAAACCAGCTCTACCAGTACAGCTCCCACTCAGCCAACCCGGCCGTCAGGAGATCTCAGAACACCGACCCCGCCGCCAGAGATGGTACGCTAGCAGCACACACACACACACACACACACGTCTGATTTCTTTCTTAGGCCGGGCATACACTGTACGAGTTTTTGTCTTTTCCTGTCGATTCTCCAGTCGTGTGAGAATTCTTTTGGTCGAGTTTCAGCCACATGGTGCCTCATGAGTCATACATGGGGCAACGAGGGGCGATTAGCTTCTAAAGACCACCACCCCATCAGGAATCATTTGGTCGGGAGAAAATGAAACGGATTTGAAATTCAGTTGTCCTTCCTGAGGTGTTGGTGGGCGTATCCTGCTGTTGAAGCAGAGCTACGAGCTGATTTACCTGAACCTCGAGCACTGCACATGTTTAAACAACAGAGTTTTTCTTCCTGATTGACGAGTCCGACCAGCACCATATCTCGGTACTGAGTCCGACATGTGGTTTTTGGACATACTGTATAAGAAGAAACATTGTGAGCTTTGAACTTTTAAACTCTGCAGTTTCATCAGTTTCATTCAGTTTTTTGCTGAAGCTGAGTACAACAATTAAAAATATTGTACAGTCCCATGAAGCTTGTTGGTCCCATTGAGACCCGTTGGTCCAGAACCGGTTTCTAACAGCCAATCCAATATGGACTCAGCTGAAGACGCTCCTGATCGCAGCGCATCGCGATGATCTGCACAACCTTTTTTCTTTGTTTCTGCTAAATTCACGTAGCTACATGATGAAACAAAAAGTAAATCGGCACATTCTGAGATATGATGGCTGCAGCCTTAGAGGAGGAGCTGGAGGACCATTGGAGGACAGACATGAAATACATCAAATTAAGTCAGAATTGTTCTCATTTTAGTGACATTTATTATGATTTATTTTAATTTATTAACCATGAAATGCTTAGATTATATAACTTGTTAGTAGAAACACTAAAAAACACGTTATTAAATAGTAATCAGAGAATTTCTGCTCTAACAGCTTAAGCACATTTCAAATGTGAAAGTTTTAATGTGTCTGAAAAGTTTTGGAATCACGTCTCTTCTCACATATCAACACATCTCATTAAAAACAGGGTCATTCTGGTTTAAGTGGGCAAAATCACTTTAATTAAAAGTAAACAGCTCCAATCTCTTATTCCTTTAATAATCCCTGTAGCCTCCTGTGAGTCTATAACAGGTTTTGAGCATCTTATGCTGCTCACAGTGATCCTGTGTGACGCAGAGGGCTGATAAATGAGAGGATCGTTTCTGCAGGACCTGATCTCAGATGAGAAGAAGGCAGAGATGGTGGTTCTGAGGGAATCTATGGAGCGTACTTCCTGGATAATTGTCTTTGTTCTCCAAGACCCTCAGCTCAGATCGCACCCAGTCCACCTTATTAAGGAGGACTGGGTGACATCCTCTGAGTATTTATGAACAGTGAGGAACTTAAAAAGACAATAGAGGCGTGTTTGACATCATCCTCATCACTGAATGTCTCCCGAGGTTCTGGAAAAACCTGCAGCTTTTCTCTGAATACCAGCTTGTTGGTGAATACGTTCATCACCAAGAAACACGGCAGCCTGTCAGGAAATCTGCTTCGTCTCCTCGCCTTCCTCCTCTGCTGCAGGTCGACTCGCATTTCAATGAAGGCTTCAGCAGCTGGGGGGGGGGTGGCTGCCAGCGGAATGGCAAACATGTCTGCTGTTCCCTCCTTCCTCATCCTCTATGCACACAGAGGAAGAGGAGTAGGGAGGAGAATAGAGATGAAGGATGGGGATGAGAAAGAGGAGCAGGCAGGATTGGGATGAGGAAGAGGAGCAGGTGGGATGAGGATGAGGAGTATATGTAGCCTGGAACTATTTACTGAGAGGAGAGGATGTATTCAGCAGTGATGAGGTGAGGAAGAGCTGTTTCCCTCCCTTACTATCTCTGCGTTGTGGCTCCCCCTAGTGTTCAGTTGGTTGTATCATCTGTTGGACTTCCTGTGGCGCTGACCTTTGACTCTTTTATCAGAAGCTTTTCAGTGAACGTTAAAGATCATGTTGATCTTCTCTCAGCAGCTTTAGGGCAGCTTTCATCTAGGCGCCACGTCCAGAAATGGAGGATCACGTCAAGATTGATTTATCCCCATTTTTATCAAGGTTTTGGCCGTGGCCTGACCGCCTCCACCCAGCACCGCCGTCCTCGTGAGAACAGATCCAGGCGTACCTTTGATTATTGTGTGGTTCTGTTGTTTCAGAGTACTACTACGATCAGGAGGACGTGTCCGATGAAGAGGCGGAGCCAACATTCTCTGAAGACGAGGCCGTCAGCCAGAAAGGACTGAGACGCTCCCAGAGTGTTAAGATCACGAGATCCAGAGTTCGCAAAGACGTGAGTTTTTCTACTAATATAATATTAGTAATATTTAGTCGGGTAAACAGTAATGCTTAATCTGGAAAACAAACAATAATATTTAATCAGAGGTCCGTTTAACGAAGCAGGAGGCAACAGAAACAGAGGATGGGAGGATGTAAATACTAAGTGGCAAACAGCCACAGTATTTGCTGTGTAAATGAGACTGAATCAATATGAGGAGGAACCCATGAGATGATGACCAGGTTCTATCTATTAGAACTTTTTAATTTTTCATCTCCACCTGCTGACAGGTGATTTCACCTAAATGGATCCATTTATCTATACCATTCAAGAAATAATCCCGTAATGTTATCATGGTTACAACAGGCTATGGCAAGCCTTTTTGATATGTATTAGATTTACAGAACATGTATTCCTGATATCTGAAAAAAAAAAACAACCTTTTCCTTGTTAAAACAACAATTTCTAACAAAATAACATTCTGCACATCTAGAATAAACAATCTAGATGTCTAGAAATTAATTTCAGATCTCCATATTCCTAATATACAGGTCATCATTTGTATTTTTTACTAGTTCAGTCTAGGAGTGTGATTTTGATCAGGAAGAATCTTATTTTATTGATCTACAAATGGAACAACAGAGAGGAGAGTGCTTTTAATAAATGTAAAAACGGCCTGCCATAGCCCACTTCATATAAACTTACGCATTAACTCCAGCAACAATCTTCTCCATCACCATCTTCCTCTCCATTGTAGCTGTAGAGATGTTTCTCTGTCTTTTTATTTTCTTTTTTTTTCTTCATTAAATCTCTATTTCCAGTCAGGTTAAATAGACAGTTACTATTTCCTGTTGTCATGGTGACTCGTTGAATCGGGTCTCCACCGATGATGGCTTTTCATACTTGTTATGCACGTGTTAAACTCTGAGCGGTTCAACTTGAACTAATTGATAGCAGCCGATGTGAAACAGAAAACTCTTGAGTTCCCGACTTTAATTTAGATCAATTTAGAGTTGAGGATTTGAATCTGAGTTTGTTAAACCTGCTTCATGAAACGGGTCCATGGTAAACGATAATGTTTAATCTGGTAAACGATGATGTTTAATCTGGTAAACGATGATGTTTAATCTGGTAAAGGATGATGTTTAATCTGGTAAACGATGATGTTTAATCTGGTAAAG